TTCTCAAATAGATTATTTTTCCAGGATTTAGGCCTCCGTCTTTTAAATGGCCATGGTCCCAAGAAAACCAAGAAAGTGGCTAGCGCCTCAGTCAAATGCTATATAGTCAGTTTTGAAATTACTGAAATATTGGTGAAAATGCTTTTCATGTGATAGATCCATATCATGTGTCTAACAGTTAGGATAACTTGAACGTTGGTGTTAAAGTCCAGTCCCATGTGTTTCAAAAGAAATTTGTAAAAAAATTTTCTTCAAAAAGAAATCACAGATTTTGCAAAGACTAGTATTGTCTTTTTAAATTGTATTTTGTTTGTTATCAGAGGCAGGTTGTTGGTTTACTTCTCTCTCAGAATTGTGCACACTCAAATAGTGTTTTTCTTGTCTAATTTTGTTTTACTTTTACATTTACATTTAAGGAAGCTATGTTTTTGATTTTGGGGTGTGGAATGTGGCCAGACAGTTGGCTGGATTGTCAGAGATCCTTTTCATGTTGTTTGGTGTCTCTGGAGAATAAATGGAAATATTGTGACTAAAGATAGTTTACAAAAGTGCTGTAGATGATTCCTATGGTGAGTCTGGCTATTTTGGATACTTAACTCAAGCTTCATAAAGTACCCTTATAAAAAGGGGAAAAAAATGAATTTTAGAGGAGGCTTAAGCAAACAAATCCCAATGCTAAAAGAAAAGGCCATATAATGAAGACCGTGCTTTCAAAAGCTAATGTAAATTATTTGGGAGTTGGTTACATAGCTCTTTCTCTCTGGAGAATAATATAAATGTACTTTAATATATAGATTTCTGCCTCTGCTAGCTATCATCCAAGAATGACTGGCAGATCCCCATGGGTAAAAATCTCCCCTAAACAAATTCACATACTCAGGATCAGCAGGAGAGGTTGATTCTGTCCCTTCTTTTCTTACAAGCTGAGGAGGAAAACAAGAGGCACCTGCAAATTAACTCAGCTGTTGTTTTTCTTGTTAATAATTGGCTAAAATGAACAAAACACTTAACCTATTATTTGGCCAAATGTCAAAATCCCTGAATTATAGTGCAGTGTTGGTATCTGTGGGTGAAAAACCAGATTTTCTTTCCTGCATAAGGTGGAAATTAGAAACACTTTACATTAGCAAGAGTCAGCCAAGTTTTTCCCTCTTAGCAACATCAGTGGTTCTCCAAGAGCACTGGAACCACCTGGAAAGCTTGTGAAAATGTACAATCCTGGGTCCCACAGGGACTTTGATTCAGTATATTGGGACACAGGTCTAGGAAACTACATTAGAAACAAACCCCACAGGTGTTCTTCAGTCCACACTTGAGACGCCCTTTTATAGGAAGTTCATCACCCCATAGGTGTACACAAAGCAGCTACAAATGATCCATGTGAATGCTGGAATGATAGTACATTTTTGGCACAGATAAGGATTCCTTTTATTTTTCCTCTCCTCCCTCTCTTGGTCTCACTATTACTTTTCTGTCTTCTTGCCACCCTTTCTCTCTTCCTCCTTTCCCCTCTGTCGTTGCCCTGTCAGCCATGAATCACGGAAAAGGAAAATGGAAACAGAAGAAAAGGTGTCCCTCGTCTGGACTTTCTGAATACCAGACAGTCATTCACTGATGTCTTAAATTTAAGAAGTTTCCATGAATCCGGTGCGGATAATACAATGACCTTAAAATATAAATACATGATTTTTTATCACCAAAAGTGTTGAAATCTTCACAAAGCAATAGATTGGAGAGATAAAGGAAAATAAAATTCAGTGCAATCAATTTTATGTGTTACTTGTTGGCATCTCAGAGAAAGACTTATGGAAAGAACTGAAGGTAGAGAACAAGAATGTATCAAGAACTAATTCATTCACTCATTCTTTCATTTATTCAAACATCAGCAACTATATTTCTATCATTTTTGCCAAGGCATGAGATAAAAGTAAAATAAAACATATTTTTCATTGTTGTTAGTTATTCAAGAAATAATTAAAATTAAGATAACAAAGAAAAGCAAATGGAACGCTGAAAATGATTTTACAATATAATGTTAACTTTGTTTCTTGTTATCTAAAACTGAAATATCTCTGTTATAATTCACAATTATATCTTTACTCAGTCAATACTGGGTTGACTCTTATCAAGTTCCTGATACAATTAAGTAAAGATGGGTTATCTTACCTACTTTCATTTCTCAAAGTTATGCTTATCAACTGATGCTTATTTATTCCAAGTATCCCATGGATAAAATAAAGGGGGTTCATAACTCAGATGAAAAAAATACATCTTTATTTTTGCTTACTTATAACTAATATTTTACGTTCTCTTTTTATATGAATGTAAGAAATAAACCACAGTAATATTAGCAGTATATATGAATGATAATGAAAACCACAGATGTTTTTCTTATCACCTTAAGGTTATACAAATTTGTTGAGATAGTGCTTACATTCATCATTATTTTAATCTATGGTAGTTTATAGACAAACTGATAGATCTTGTTATTTAATGTGTTAATATATTAATATATTACAATTTTTCAAATAGCTCAGTAATTGTATTTCAATGATTAATTTCCCAGAAATCTTATATACTTTGTTTTATGCATGTAAAATACTATTTTAAAAGAGGTTCATAGTATAAGAAAGTTAACTCTAGCAATAAATTGTCAACTCCAACAAAATTTTAATACCATATCAAATTAGATAATTTTTAAACAAAAAAAAAATTAGCTTAGCCCCCCATATTATTTCTTCAATGAGCACAACTTAATATCATGCCCTTGAATTTTGCATGATTATAAGAGGCATCTACCCATAAAGCATCTGTACAGGCATTGCCAATTTCTGTATTTATTATGCACTATAAGGAAATCAACTAAGTTCATTTCTGTTAGAAATAAATTTTTATAGTTCTGTTTACCAAACCACAGGAATTATGTCTCTTTTTTGTTTGCCTTTTAGTTGTTGTCTGTGTTTTGTTAAGATTGCTGAGAAAAGCCGGGCACGGTGGCTCACGCCTGTAATCCCAGCACTGTGGGAGGTGGAGGCAGGCAGATCACGAGGTCAAGAGATCGAGACCATCCTGGCCAACATGGTGAAACCCCGTCTCTACTAAAAACACAAAAATTAGCTGGGCGTGGTGGTGTGCACCTGTATTCCCAGCTTCTCAGGAGGCTGAGGCAGGAGAATTGCTTGAACCCAGGAGGTGGAGGTTGCAATGAGCCAAGATTGCACCACTGCACTCCAGCCTGGTGCCTGGCGCCTGGTGACACAGCAAAACTCTGTCTAAAAAAAAAAAAAGATTGCCGAGAAAGAGCAAATGTAGTACCTGGTGATACTGAAAATATCATCTCAGTTATGCTGTAAAGTTGCCTCCTTTCCCTTAAAATAGTTTCTGTTATACTATACTTTTTTTTTTTTTTTTTTGAGATGGAGTCTCACTCTGTTGCCCAGGCTGGAGTGCAGTGGTGTAATCTCGGTTCACTGCAACTTCCCCCTCCCAGGTTCAAGTGATTCTTCTCCCTCAGTCTCCCAAGCAGCTGGAATTACAGGTGTGCACCACCATACCTGGCTAATTTTTTGTATTTTTAGTAAAGATGGGGTTTCACCATGTTGGTCAGGCTGGTTTCCAACTCCTGGCCTTGTAGTCAACCACCTCAGGCCTCCCAAAGTGCTGGGATTACAGGGCTGAGCCACCGTGCCCAGCCAGCTATATACTATACTTCAAGATGATTTTTGAAGTAGGAAGGGTGAGAAATACGAACAAATTATCCTTAATGGCTTTGCAGAACGTTTTATAAAGTCCTTCCATCTACATATTTTATGAGCTCTTTCCCATCCTGGGAAAGGAAAATCAAAGGGTCTTTACTTCCCCCCATCTAAGTTCTAGAAGCTTTCTGAGTCATCAGCATTCATGAGCACTACAAGCCTAATCAACTGCTAGAAATGTAGGGGTTTCCGCACCTGGATATTACAAGTTGTTGTATTGCAGAAGCCCAGGCAGGCCATGCACCCCACAAGAAGATTCCACCAGGCTTAGTAGAAATAATCTGCCCTCAAGACATTCCAGTGATTCAGTTCTCCCAAGTATTAACAAGCAGTTATGCAAATATTCATGAACAGTGGAAGGACTTGAGCTTTTAAGGAGTTACTCACAAAACCAGCATCTGATTTTTTTAAATCAATGTAATTGCCACCCACTCCCTACTCTCTTCTTCCCTTTCCCATCCTCACTCTCATTCCCCCACAATCCAGAGTCACTCATCTAAGGGAACTTCCAGAGGCTTCCTGAAGATTTCCCAGGAAAAACAAAGGAATAAAGTTTCCAAAAGAGAAACGGTCCCATTGAAATGAACCTGGTGCCTCATTTGGGAATGTGGAGATCTCTCACCTTCTGGAGAACAGTCTCTTGCTGGGAACTGCTTTCCGGAGTTGTTCCTATTCTGCCATCTTGGTGGAAGTAGCCATTTTCATTTCAAATCAGGAATGAGACTTCTTGAGACTTCACTCTGAGTGAAACACCCAATGTGTCCAGCCACCAAGTGTCAATTTTGGCCTGACTCACTGATATTGAGAGGAAGCAATGGGTTTTCATAGTGAATTCATGGTCAGGAATAAGGAGAGCTGAGTGATGTAACTTCGCTCTGCCCTTGACCTGCTGGAAGATCCAAGGCGTATTTTACCCATCAGTTTTTTAATGGGTGCTAAATGACTAGTCCTCCTTACAAAGTATTCTCTCCTCGTAGAAGACAAATTATAACCACAACCCACACAAGGCTCAGCTTATGGTACCAAAGGGTAGAAAAGATTTTCTGCTTAGGAAGTAGTAGTCATGGAAAAAGAAAAAGATAAAGAAGGAAAATAAGAAAGACAGAAAAGAAAGAAGGAAGGAGGGAAGGAAGGAAGGAAGGAAGGAAGGAAGGAAAGAAGGAAGGAAGGAAGGAAGGAAGGAAGGAAGGAAGGAAGGAAGGGGGGGAGGGAGGGAGGGAGGGAGGGAGGGAAAAACTAATCCAGAAGCTGAGGCCTAATTTCAAAATTTACCTTGTGTATTTTTCCTGCTAATATCTGTTTATCATAACGATGACTTAAGTTTTACCTTAGAGTCATAATTTCTCAATACAGATTCCATCCTTGAATAATTGATTGATGCCTCTCCAGAAATCAGAAGGCTAAAAAGAGCATTAAATCATTCAACAGAGAGATTATAAAAAACCACCATGTGTCAAGCCCTAGAGTAAAAAATCAGGTATATTTCAATAAATAAAACAAACCCCCAAAATAAAAAATCAGGTATATTTCAATGAATAAAAGTATAATTTACTTATCTTAGTAAGTACCTTTATTTCTGTAATAAACTTTAAGGACTGCAAGACTGTATTCTACATCAATTGAATGCAAATCAATCACTTTAATTAAGCTAAGCCCTCGCTCGTGGTAACGTTTTTGGTCATTTTTCGTAAGGTTAAATATGCATCTACCCCATAAGTCAGCAATTCCACTTCCAGGCAAATAACCCCCCAAAATGAATACATATGCCCATAAAATACTTGTTTTACAAGAATATTCATAACAACTTTATCCATAAAAGTAAAGAACTGGAAATGACCCAGATGTCATCAACAGAAAATAGAGAAACAATTTTTAGTATACTCTTACAATGGAAAGCTATTCAGCAATAAAAATAAATGAATTTCTGATACACGCAACAACATGAATGAATCTTACATACATTACAACATAATGAAAGTAGGAAGCCAAGAACAGGCAAAACTGATGTATAGTGATGTAAGTCCAAAATTGGTTACCTTTGGTGAAGGATTGACTGGAGAAGGCCATGAGGGAACTTTCAAGGATGGTGGAACAAGTCCACATTTTATTATGAACGGCGAGTACCAAAAATTTAAAATATTCCTTGTTTTATGTAAATTATACCGTAACTTAAATAATTGTTTCTTCTAGTTCACCTGCTCACCTTTAAAAAAAAAATGAAAATAGAAAAAAAAAGAGAAGAATAAAGAACAAGCATAGACTTTGTAGTCCAATAGGGAGAGACAGATAATACACAGCAAATAAACACATTGATAATCAAAAGTTATTCATAAATGCATGAGGTAATTGAACAAAACGTAGTAATACAGAATAGTAGGGAGGGCTCTTGTGAGCGTGATTGCAGAAGGCCTTTCTGAGATTACCCGAGAGCAAACAAGCCACATAGGGAGTTCACAAGTAAAGAGAAGCATTTCAAGAAGGAGAAATAGCATGTGCAAAGACTCTGCGGTTGGAGCGTGGTGGTTCCCAGAACCAAAAGGGCCAGTGCAGCTGGAGCGCTGTGGGTAATGGGGAAAGTGGGATGAGATGAGGGTGGGGAGGTAGGAAGGGGCCAGACCACACTGACCAGATAGGCCATGGTCAAGAGTTTAGATTTTATCCTTAGAGTAACAGAAAGTTATAAAGGGGTTAATGCTGGGAGTTGCACAATCTAATTGATGTTTTCTGAAACATTACTCTGGCTGTTGGCATGAATATGAACAGGAGGAGCCTACACGCTTTATAAACCAGGTTCTGTCATGAAAGTTATTAACCTCTTTGAGATGGAATTTAGTTTTTCAGTTGTATAAAGCAATTTTACTCTATGATTTTGATCTTAAAGGTTTGAGTGGGATGTGTAAAAGAAGGATAGTCCTCTACTAATTGAAATTGGTTAGCTTTCTTCTGATCATTTTATTGTGTTCTTCAACTTGAAAATTACTTAAATACTCTTGACAACAGAATGGAGCTCGTTTATTAATAAAATGTAACCCCTACTGTTGAGACAGAAGGTTCTGGAGGGACATAGAGAAGGGATAAAGAAGAAGTTGCTCCCAATCAGCCATCCTACCCACCAGGTCATTCCAGAATCAATGGTGTTAAGTATGGGGAGAAGGTTAGGTACAGACTTCAAAGCTAGATTATCCTCTTAGGTATTCTGCAAGCATCTTAAAAACAAACGCATAGGTTAGCAGAAAAGAGAAAAGAAATGTTCTCATCTCTTCTCCCCCGCAGCCCCACACCTCATCTCCCAACCTCATGAAGAGTAGGACAGCTCAGCCTGCCAAGTGAACGTGGAAAACACCCATCAGATCTACAGCTGAGGAGTCTCCAGAGAGAGACACAATTTCATGCATTAAAGATCTGTCAAGATTGTCGAGATCTGCAAACACCCTCAAGTTTGTGATTATGCGCTACTTGGAACAATGAATAATATTCCACCCCCATGGGGTTGCCTGATTAAATAAAAAGTAAAAGTTGACAAACAGTGGAGGGAAACAGTGACAAACTCAGACACCTTCTATCTGCAGTGGAAATCAATGCTCAGCAAATGTGAGGTGAGGAAATCCCACACTATGGGAGAGATCAAAGGGAGAAGCTCTAGCTGTTTAGTTTGTTTTCAGCCTGCCAACTGAAGCAGGTGTCTTCTCACTCAGAAATAGGTAGAGCAGGGAGTACCCAAGGTGACCGCCACCTCCTATATCCCACTTGGAAACAAAAGTTTTACTTGAGAACAGATTTCCCCAGTATCTTTACATCACTAAATTGTTTTAAGAACAATAAAATAAAAGGTTAGAAAGAGCAGCAATGCAGTCTCATCAAGTTATAAGCAAAAAANAAAAAAAAAAAAAAAAAAGACCATCAGAGAGAATTACCTACAGACGCATTGGAACCTGATTCTCACACCCCTGGCCAGGAAAACATTTTTCTCAGAAGCCACCAACCAAGGGTCTTCATTTACTTTAATCTGTCAGTGCCCGAGGCTTCTTCGATCACCGTGAATTAAGCCCTAGCCACAGTGCTTGCCACACTTTTGCCACTCAAGTCAATTCATACCTTATTTATTGTTGAGATCTCTCTGCTCATCGCATGTAATTTTTAAAAGTTTAAATGTTTTGTCAAGCAAAAGTCTGAAGGTTAACTATTGGTTCCCACAGTATTTAGAAAATAGAGAAACAGTATCCTGGCTCTTCTTAATTAGAGAATGAGGTTTTAACTCAGTATACGTAAATTCAGGCCTATTATCTAAAGGGGACAATAAATGTTAAGTACTGCTTGTTTCTATTCAGAATCTAAACATCTCCATATCATTTCAAAATAAAAATTCGGTGGCATTTTAGAACTCACTAAGACAGCCAAACATTCAGGAAACCTTCATTTCTTTTCAGAAAAGGTGAAAGAGGTCCACTCCTAGCTGTCCTAGAAAAGAGTTTGCTTGAAAGTGTTTCGATTTGAATCCTTGGAAAATGAAGACAATCTGAGGGTCAATTTTGTTCTCACCCTCATTTTCTTTCACTGTCTTTTGTTCTTTTGCCAGTTCAGAGAATCACTGAACTGAGCATATGATGGTCAATACTTTATTTAATAAATAAAGCATACTACCTAAGTGCTAGTTTTCATGAACTCTTTGGGGTCTTGGAAACCCCTGCTGAATGAGCAGTACCAGCAAGCAGGATATGCCATGACCAATCCATGGGATCTCGTCACTTAAGGAAGCCCTAAGTCTGCCTTCCTCTGATGCATCCATGGCCACTGTCACTTCCCAGTCACTCTTGCTGAGAAGCAAGGCAGACTGCAAATATTCCAATTACCACACAGGGAAATTGACCCAAGAAGAAGCAGGCATGGTAGAAAGAGGAATGCTATAACCCCTTGGACTGTTAAATCAATACTTACTCTGAAACCTGCCCTACCTCTGAACTTTCTGACACATGAAAGAATTGCAAACCTTCTGTTAAAGGCACATTTGAGCCTGAGAATTCTGCTACCTGCTGGCAAAATCACCCTGATCCAGGGAGTCAGCATTAGTCACAGAATGTTTTTTGGGTGCCTTTATGTGCCAGGCACAACACTGGGTACTAGGTACACAGCAGTACATAAAAGGGAATTCTCCTTTATCATCAAGTGGAGAAGATACACATTAAATACATAAATATACATAATGAAGAAATTTCTAATATGCAAAAGTGCTACAAAGAATACTGGGGCCTCTGGACATGTACAACTAGGGGAACTTACAGAGTCTGGGGGAGTCAGAGAAGGCCTTCTTGAAGAAAGTCTTATTTAATTTGAACAATTAGTCCTGAATAATAAGTGGGAGTTATTTAAACAAAGAGTGTGTGACTCGGGGGAAGGAGCGTCAGGTAAAGGGACAGCACATGAAGGGACATTTCAAGTCCTTCACATTTCAGCACATGACCTTTAAACTGGTCCTAGTATTCAGGTCCGCACAGAAGACAGCTGGAGCAGAAAGTGAGCAGCTTCAATTGAGGCTGGAGGGGTAAGAGTCAGTGTAGTGGCGCAAATACCCAGAGGCCACATCAGTGGGTGATCCAAGTTAACAACTGGGGCTAACCTCAATGAGAAGCCCTGGAAGAGTTTTAAGTAAAGAAATGAACAGCAGAATCAGATGTGTGGTCTTAAAAGAATACTCCAATAGCAGGGTGAAGAATGGATTCCTGGAGGCCAAGCGCAGGGCCGGAAGAGCAGGGAAGTAAGTGAAAGGACCAGGAAGGGAAAGAATCTGAGTGGATGGAATGCGCAGCAGGGGTAGACTTGATAATGGGCTGGAGAGAGGAGTAAAGGAGAGAGAATAATCAGAAGTGATCCCTGATCCCTGGCCTCGTGGGTAGAGAACAGTACCATTTACTGAGATTTAGAACAGGGAAGGTGGGTGGGGCAGGTGGTAGGGAAGAGGATGAGGACCATAATTTAGTTTAAGACATGTTCATTTTCAGGTACATATGAGACAGCTAAGTTTGCTCTCTGTCTCTCTAGAGAAATATGTTGATCAAAGATTTAAAAGCAGGCTCAAAAATCTGGGGACCTTATTTTTAACACTGAATTTGGGTACTTAGTTATAGACACAACAAAACCTCCATGACCGATACACACACCTGACCCTTGCGGACTTCTAGCTGGAGTAGCTATCCAACATTCCCATTTAAGGTGTGTGGCAGTTTGCTTCTCTTTCCAGAAGATCAATAAAAGAACCACATACAGCACTCTGTACTTCTGAGATGACCAGAGATGATCTTCCATGAGCTCAAAAAATAAAACCTTAACAAAGCGTCCTATCCCACTGTCTAAGCTCTTCCATGCTCAATACAGGCTGTCTTCATGAAAGTCACGCCGTCTGGACCATCATTGTTCGATTTCAAAGGGACATCACAGGCCATTTCAGCACATGACCTTTCCTTGGCCTTAGTATTTGGATCCACACAGAGGAGAACAAAACAGTCTCAGGGAATAATGTAGATACTTCACATTTGGATTCATGCGTATTTAGTGGCATGATTAAATAAGATGTCTATATGCTCAGCCAAGAAAACCCTATTTCATTCAAATTCACTATCATCTATATTTAATAACTATTTACCACTATATACAAGCAAGTAAATGTATTGTTCTATATAAGCAAGAAAATGTAGTAACTATTGACCACTGTATACAAACAAGCAAATAGCTTGAATTATATTTTTCTTGAAAAGGAATAGATTTTAAACAACCGTCAATCATACTAAAGTATGACAAGGTTCCTGGGAGTATCTTTTATCTATGGCAGACATTGTTTGGAATCTAACTGGGTTTTTAATTGGGAATCTAATGGGTCTATCATGTACAACATAATAATTTTAAATATGTACACATTGTGGTATGGCTAAATGAAAACCTCTCTCTGTCCACTGGCTATAACTAGAGTGTTCTAAGATGAAGAGGGCTTGTGTATTTGGCTGATTCCTCCAGTGCTCCTCCCTGCTTTCATTTTCCTGTATAATCTCTTGCAATTATGGTAAAATGGCAGCAGAACATGTCAAGATGAATCATCTATCTCCCCAAATTTCTATTTACCAAAAGTAAATAAGGCTTACCTACTTATAGCCCTTGTTCGTTATGAAAATTATTGAAACCTCAAGCAACTAAAGCCTACCTTCAGACAAGACCACAGCACGCTGCCAGGAAGTGTCTTTTCACAAGAGGGGGCTCACAGGAAAGCAGTTTTCTCTTCTTTTGTTCTAGGAGGAAAGAGACATTTGGCTATGTAGAAGGAGAGCTCAGAAAGGTAACCTAGGAGGAGCATGAGTGGTCTGGAACTAGAGAGTTGTTTTTGACAATTGGTTTATCCTAACCATAGATAAGCAGAGGCTGGTTTCCTGACATGAGGTCTGGAAGGTAACTGGGAGTGCACTTGGAAGAGGCCTGAGTGAGGGACAGGAAGGGATCACTAAGAGTGTCATTGAGATGGGGAAGTGACAGTGTAAGGAGACAAACCCAGGGCCCTCTTTTTGTGATTTTTATTCCATACATTGTTTCCATTTTCCTTTCCTTCCCTCTCCCTTTTCCCCACACCAGCTTATTCCTGCAAACTCTTTGATGAAACAAGCATGTTGCCTATGAATTGCCTGGGTGGGTCTGAGCTGGATAATCCAGCAAACTCCTTTAATGTTTCTTCTCTTCATACAAGGCATAAAGGCTACAGAATTTGAAAGAAGGTGTATGTGTTGAATATGTCATTGATATATTAATTTATAAGGGCACTTATACATTTATTTGACTGATCTATAAATATTCCTTTCCTCGACACACAGGTGAAGTCAATAAGACACAGCCCAAGACCAAGGAGCACTCTCTTAAAAGTCATGGCAGACAGCAGGCTGTTGACCCCTCTGTCTATCCGAGTGGTGTGTCACCTCCTCTTCCTCTCTCTGCCCGTCTCTGGGGGTGTGCCCTCTCTGTAAGTACTATCCACAGCAGGGAAGAGGTAAGGGTGGCTGCCTTTAAAGAATGGACCATTTCTTAGTTTTGCTTCTTCTTCATGACTTAAAACTAAAGGTTCATCAAGTTGGGAAGTCACAACTATTGACTAGAAGAACTTAAGAGGATTTACAGCCCTCATCTGTTTTTCCTACTCTTCCCCTATTCATGAAACATCTGCTCAGCACAGTGACAGAAGGCGTGATTTATTGGGCCTTGCCCACACCAAGAACATTACTGTTCCTTGCCTTTGTTCACATCTGTCTGCTGGGTCATTCCTATCCATCACTCAAGGGATGTGGGTCAGCTCTTGACCCACATCCTCTCTAGAAATGGTTTTACCATCTTGTTCCACAATGAATCCCCTGATCCTGTAATTCAGACCAGAGCTGATCTGGAACTTCTACTTGACATTTGTCAAGCCCACAACTGCCATGGTCCTAACCTTTTTGTGATCATCTAAACCTTTATATAGAAAGCCTGTCCTACCAACTTGACTGTAATCTCTTTGAAGACTGAAGGGTGCAACATCCAGCCCAGGACTAAGCATTCCTAATAAAAGCCTTTGAAAATATTTAGAAGTATTAGTTTTCTGCTAATAAATAAATTTCTAATTTTCATCCTCCACTTTATTCCTCATTTTGCCTCTGCACTGATTTCTTTTCCACTTCTCTTTGGAATTTCTTTGCATGATTGGCTCTTCTGCCCTTAAAAATATGCTATATTTTACTATAAAAGTCTTCAAGTGAATCTGTATCTGCCATCTCCAATTTTTCTTCTCTTATTCTTTCTTAAACTTCTTCCAATCAGACATTTGTCCTCAAAGCTGCACCAAACCTGCTCTTACCAAGGTCTCCAGTGATCCCTACTTTGTTGACTCAATTCTCAGCATTTCTAAGCTCTCGTCATACTTGACTTGTAAGAATCATTTGACACAGCAGACCATTCCCTACTCCTTCATCCATGTTCTCCACCTGATTTCTAGGACCCCTCACTCTTTGGTTTTCCTCCCACCCTCTGGGTCATTTCTCTTCCTTCTTCTTTACTGGTTTCTCCTCTTCTCTCCAGTCTCTTTATCCTGGTGTATGCCAAGACTCAGTCCTGGGTCCTCTGTTCTTCTCAATCAACATTCACTTATCCAGTCTCATGACCTTAAATAGTCTTATAGTCCATGACTCTCCAATGTCTACATCCACCTGAAGCCTTTCTCTTGAACTTGAGAATCATATCCACAACTGCCTGCTTTATATTTTGGAATATAAAGTCCTGAAATATAAAGTGTTGGAAACACAAGTCCCTTTAAGTTCAACTTGTCCAAAACAGAACTTTTCCTCCTCTCTCTCAAACATGAACTCCTGGTCCTCCTCTGTCTTCATCTGGGTTAATTGTTACTTCACCCCTCCCATCACTCAGGTCAAAAAGAACCCGTGTGTGTGTATGAGTTGGGTATCATCAAACCCACTAGCATGCCTAACCTCTTTCTCTCTCACAACTCACATCCAATTAGTCAGTAAATCTTGTCACCTCTTGCCTTCACAATATGTCCAGTATCTGACCACTTTTCATTACCTCTACTCCTCCCATCCTGGCCCTGGTCACCCACACTTATTGTTTGGATCGTTGCCGCAGCTCTTTCCTGGACTCCTTGCCTTTGCCTTTGCCCCTCCATAGTCTATTCACCACACAGAAGTCAGACCCCCTTAAAACATAAGTCAGATCATATCACTCCTCTAAAGAGGCTCCCTACCTCATTCAGAGTAAACATCAAAGCTCTTACATGTCCAATCAGGACATGCCGGAATAACCCTTCACCTAGCTCCTTAATTCTCTGACCTCACTTCATACAACTCTCCTTATCTAACCCCACTCCACTCCAGACAGATTTACCTCCTTGCTGCTCCCTGGAACACGCCAGCAACTCTCCTTCCTCAGGTTCTTTATACCAACTGTTGCCTCTGCCTGGAAACATGCATCCCCGTGAAATCTACCTGAAGCATCCCTCACCCACCTTAAGCCTTCACTCAAATGTCATTTTCTCAGCAAGACCCACTCTGGCCTTCCAGGTACTGCTACAACCACATTCTACCTCCTACTCTCAGACTTCCCCTATCTTGCTTTACTTCTCTTTTTTGTTAGCCTTATCACCTTATAATATTAACATACTTATTTATTTAATTTATTATTTCCATCTCCACCAGCAGCAATAAAAGCTTCATGAGGATAGAGGTCTATATTTGTTCACCAATGTGTCTCAAATCCCTAGAATGGTGCTTTCACATGTATGAAGGAATGAGTCAGTGTGTTCAGAAACCCACTCAATCCCACAGCAATAGAGAACTGACTGTTGCATATGCCCCAACTTAGAAAAGACAAATCCAAAAAGGACTTGACTGTTAATTAAAGGATGATGCTTAGGACCCTGTTTTCCCTCTGTGTTCCCACATAGGCATTGCCTGCCATCCCCTTCATACAAATCACCGTGCAGAAAAGGAATTTACCTTGCTATGTGGATGTCACTCTAACCACAGGACTGGGAATACGTGAGAGAATGATGTTAGGAACTATGGTCTCCTTTACTAGGAAAGAACAGATTCTCTTCCTTCAATAATTATTAAGCTCTAACTCTGCCAGGAATGAGGAACATGCTATTAACAAGCAGAAAAGGACCCTAATCTCCTGGAGATTTAATTCTAGTATAACGGCATATCCTCATCCTCAGTCTCCACTAAGGTCTGTCCTCAGATAAATAAATCTGGTGGGATTTTATTTCCCCTGGTGGGGAAAGAAGGAAAAACCCAGACTCTACATTAACTTATCCTTTAAAACCTTGCTACTCAAAGTGTGGTGCCCAACCAGCAGTATCAGCCTCAACAGGGTACTTATTGGAAGTGCAGTATATCAGGTCCCATCCTAGGCCAACTGAACCAGAAACTGCATTTAATAAGACCTGCAGATGATCCTTATAAGCCAAAATATGCATACATGTTGAGGTTCACTGCCTTGGAATTCTCCACTGAATGTACTTGCACAGGTATTACATCAATTATGTGATAAGAAAAATTTGGTGAGCCGAGATCGCGCCACTGCACTCCAGCCTGGCACCTGGCGATGGAGCAAGACTCTGCCTCAAAAAAAAAAAAAAAAAATAAAAAAGGGCCAGCAAAAAAAAAAAAAAAAAAAAAAAAAAAAAAAAAAAAAAAAAAAAAAAAAAAAAAAAAAAAAAAATTGGAGATTAGAAAGGAGTGAATTAACTTCATGTTTTCCTTTTGCTCAAGGACAAAATATCAATTAATTCCAGGAATGATAACATGAATTGTAGTAAAAATTCTAGATTAATGTCTCTAATCACTTAAAATTTACAGAACACAGGTTGATCTGACATAAACATGATAATCATTTCCTGAGACTTCGTGCTGGCATACACGTGGAAAGGCAATGTTTAAAATTACTTAAGTAAATGTGTTTAAGAGGGTAGACTCTAAGGTTAGACTTTCTGATTTCTAAGCCTGTTACTCTATCAACCGCTGTGCTTCCTGGGCTAATTTGCTTGGCCCCTCTTAAGTTTCATTTTCTTCTTCTGTACATTAAGAATAATAAGAATAGTGTTTATTTGACAAGTTTATTATGAGGACAAAATGAGGTAATGTTTATAAAGAAATAAGCATAATGTTGACACAATATGGTTGTCATACAGTTTACTGAGTTGCCTGTGGTAAGAACTCAGTAAACGTTATAGTATTATTATTATTTCAGTCAACATTTAATTTACCCAACAAGTATTTTATTTATAGGATACAATAATCCAGAAAAATCAGGATGGAGTATGAGGAGCCTACTTAGATGAGCAGGTCAGTCAAGTCCTGTTTGGGGAGAGGAAATTTACATGGAAACCTGGAGAATGAAAAGCAGCCAGTCACATAACGAGCAATAAAATCGAGTGGGTGAAGAGAAGAGCAGCTCAAGACGCGTCAAAATCAGGCAGGGCATCATAGTCCAGAAGAGGGGTTTGGGTCATAATCAATGTGGAGCTACTGAATCCCTTTAGACAAGGGAGTGAGTTAAGTAGAAATGTGTGTTCAGGCAGGGCATCATAGTCCAGAAGAGGAGTTTGGGTCATAATCAATGTAGAGCTACTGAATCCCTTTAGACAAGGGAATGAGTTAAATAGGAATGTGTGTTGGGGCTCCAGTGGGGACAAGGGTCTGGAAAAAGTTTCCATGACATATGAAGCTGTATCAATGTACTGTCAGTTTCTAAGGAA